CAGAGATCTTGTTGCCCAGGCTGGAGTGCAATGGGGCAATCTCAGCTCACCACAGTCTCATCCTCCCAGGTTCAAGCCATCTCCTGCCTCAGCCTCCCCAGTAGCTGGGATTACAGGCACACGCCACCACACCCAGCTAATTTTTTTGTATTTTTAGTAGAGATGGAGTTTCTGCACATCGGTCAGGCTGGTGTCAAACTGCCGACCTGAGGTGATCTGCCCACCTTGGCCTCCCAAAGTGCTGGGATTAGAGGCATGAGCCACTGTGCCCAGCCTAGACTATTTATTCTAACTATAAAGATTAGACTACACAAGGCCCCATGCAAAAAAAAAAGTTCAGGAGAAGTAACTGCCAAAATCTTATCTCTGTTATAACATATGAGCTAAATTTTAAAATAATCAGTGGGTTGTAGTTATGAATGGGGGAGGTCCAAGCATCTTTGGTTACAAGCAGAGTTAGACACCTCAGGAATTTAAGTTATAAAAGTATTTCATATTTTTAAAGAATGAGTCAAGGAATAATGCCTATTTAGGTAGAAGAAAACTTTTGGAGCTCTCTGATATCAATCTGTTCTTTTTATTCATAACTTACATAAACATGCAAAGAAATAGCTTGGAAAAAGTGGATTTGCTCCAGTGGCATCCCTGATGCCAAGTCTGATGATAAAGCTATATTGTAAAATAAAAGGATATAATTAGAAGAAGTGATTTGCCTTTATAAAATAACTGTCCTTATGTCAGACCTTCCACTAAGAAGAGATACAGAAATGGAGTCAAGATGTTTCTGGTTCTGTTTCTAGCTCTGCAAGAACACTAAGGCAGACGCGATGGTGAAGGATTTGTATGTTGAAAATGCCCAGTTGTTGAAAGCTCTGGAAATGACTGAACAGCGACAGAAAACAGCCGAGAAGAAAAACTACCTCCTGGAAGAGAAGGTTGCCAGCCTCAGTAATATAGTTAGGAATCTGACACCAGCGCCGCTGACTTCTACACCTCCTTTGAGGTCATAGCCAAACCAAAGGGTACACTCATATTTGTGCACTTTACTGAAATAGATGGGACATTTCAGTAGATTCTCAACTTCTGTAACCTTTATTGGCTTGAAGTTAAAATTAAGCCTAACCTAAACTGCCAGCAACAGAACTGGAGTTTCCATTTATCATAGTTTTTCTAAATAGACCCTTATGGGAGTTTGAAAATAAACACTCACGTATTTTACAACTTAAATTATTCCCAAGATTTGGATTTATTTTAGAATTCTAATAGCCACCAAGAATGTGGACATAATTCAGTCACCTCACAATCCCAGTTTTGAATGAGTTTTTGTTTTTCTGGGTTTTTTAAATCATTATTACAAATCTATGTGTAAAGTCTAGAAATTTAAAGTTTGAGATCTGTTGAGAATGGTTGTTATGAACTTTATTTTTAAACCAAATTTAGGTGTTCTTACACATTTAAATACTGGAAAGTCATTGTAATAGTTTCAGTTCTTTAAATTAATTGGTAGACTGAATTGATTGGTAAAATATAATTGTTTGCCTAGGAGGCAGGGCTTAAGTGATTATTAGCCACTGAAGTCAGACAAGCCCAAATCTGTACAATTCTAACCTTCTAACACCTGTGACAGTATTGCCACTCTTTTTGTATTATAAACTTAGAACTAATTTACTCAGTTGCACTCTTAACTGATGTTAAAGCTTTACTTGCTTTAAACAGCCTTTTCTTCTTTCTCTTAGAAGTTTCATTTGGGAGCTGGTCTTCTAAGAAATGGATAAAGCCACATAATTAAAGCATTTCAACTGTAGGGAAAGCACTGAACAAACCACTTTGGAGTAAATAGCTACTCTTAGAAAAGAGGGATAAGCAGACCATGTAGGTTTTCTGTCTCTCAAATCTTGGAGTTCATGAACTTACTTGAGGTTGCCTCAAGAACTCAGGGAACAATATTCTAAACTGTCTTCCTGAACTACTGTAGGGCCTCTCTAAGAATTTGAAATGTATAAACCATGTGACCTCATTTATTTGTCTTATATATTCACAGCCATAGAATTTTTATTTCTACATTTTTAGTAAATTTAATATTCTAGGGAAAAAAGGCCTTGATTTTAGGGCTAAAAAACCTGATTTATTGAAGAGTTTGTTTATTTAATATAGGTCAAATTCTCCATGTTTCTTATTCCTTCTATACCTCAAATCTGATTCTAAGAATTTCTTACTTTGATAAGCATTGGCATGCCACCTTAGGTGAAGGAGTGCCAAATAGGACTTTCCATTCATGCTCAAGATCAAAGCTTTATAGAAGAGTAAACACTTTAGATTCGGTAACCTTCTTTTTCTTGCAGTTACAGTCTCTGCTTCTATCCACTTCCGCCAGCAGTTGGTGGAAGACTCACTAGGTGCAGGGGCACTATTCAGACTCATCACAACAACCTGCTTGTTTTCATAAGACAATAATCAGAAAAATTCTCTTTGATATATTCCTGGAGGGCCAAGCCCATCTGTTTACAAAAGGTTTAACAGCAAAATCAGGCACTGCTTTTATGGGCAAGACACAACAGAAAGCAAACTGCCCAAGAAGTCATGATGTCAGAAACTCAATCTCAACAAAGTAATTTCTGTCAGGGAACTTCAGGGTTTCTTGGGGCTTCTGAGTCTCACCAGTCAATCCAGGAGACCTCACAGTACAAGAGCTTTGACAAGGCACTGTTTTTTGTGGGACTGGGAGTTCACACTGATGAAACAGACCTGTGAGTCTTTGCGTAGCTCTTGTCAGAAAGCCCTCACTTTCCCCTAGATAAAGAGGTCATTTTCATCCTTCCCTATAATTATACTTCAAAATCTTTCACATCTGCTCTCATGCCTTCTTTAGATCTTCTGCGATGCAAACATTCCTAGTTGGTGTTTAACTACTTGTATGGCATAAGCTTTCACTTAAAACTATGAATTGGCCTTAGGCTAAGGACAAAAATTAACTAAGTACCTGTAGTGTATTTATGTGATAATGTGTCAAGTTACTCCAGGTTATTGCTGTTGGAACTGAACAATATTTCCCAGATAGCTGGCCTTAGCATGTGATCACATTTGTTGTATTTTTTAATTTTTGTCTTTTATACTATGAGAGGTGTAGGTTAATTTGTTTATTTCCTATAAATTTGTATTTATGTGTATATAAAATGTACAATGAATGTAAATATGACTTTCTGGAAAGTTTAGACTACATTTAGAGTCTGTATTCAAAATCAAAATGCTGCTCAAATGAAAGTGAATTTAACCAACATATAGGTGCTTAATTTCTCATTTTACCTGACTTATGAGGTTGGGAAAAAGGTCAATGAGAAATATACAGATACCTTAAATGTATACATTTATGCAACAATTTTTGAGAAGTTGAGTGGCAATTTATAATTTAGTTGGCAATTTATAGTAGAGCTTACAGCTTTTAAAAGACCTTTTAAAGACATTCAATGTAAACTGAAAATTATGTTTAGATGTTGTTTCAAACTTTACAATAGCACTCTTTAAAATATTAAGTTATATATTTTATAGGTATTTAGTTGCTTGTTTATTAAAAGCACTGATTTTTAAGCTTCTTGATTTAAGAACAGTTATTTAAGATAGTCTTAGAAGATGGCTTCTTCGTTTCAAGAAAAGGGAATCAAGTTTGCCTTTGTGATAATACATTACACTAAGAAAAAAGAAATGTGGATAGCAAAATCCACCTCTCATCCTATTTTGCTCTCTTCTGCTTTTCAGAAGCCTACGCTTTAGCTCAGATTTGTGGAGGGAAGAGTAGAAGGGGAGAGTAGAACCAACCACAGCGTTTTATTTTTCTAAAATTCTTATTAAATCCAGATTTTTAAAACTGTTTTAAATGTGAATTCTTCCCAGAAAATTCAATCCATTGCCTATTTAGCCTTCAGCATATTTTACATAAGTAGATCACGAAGTCATAGGCTTTCAAGGCCTAGGAAGAGATCTTACGGGTCTAGTATTTTAATAATGCACTAATACCCAGGGCAGATGTGACAAACTATTTCTTCTCTCAAAAGTAAGGGTTTGTGGCAAACTTTGTTTTTTTTTAACATGTGAGAAATGAATTTTTTATTTTGTGATTTATATGATTTTCTTTTTTGCTGAGTGAAGGAAGACAGAAATTGTTGCTATTGTCAGCATCTTAAAGGTATTTACAATCAAGGCAAGGCTAAGTGCTTTGTGATAGTATTAAGCAAGTCATGTTTTGAATGGATTACCTGTAATGACACATTGGAATGATATAATTATATAAGTAATGCCAAAACCCAAGTCAAAGCCTAATTAACCAAAGCACTCATTTTAAAATCATCGTGTTTGGACCTATCTGGACCTCTCAGCACTGTAAAGTAGTTTTGGTTTTGTGGCATATGAATAGTTGTTGAACAAATCAAAGTTGGCTTTTTGCTTTTCAGCGTTTTTGGACAATACAAGTTAAGTTCTTAATGGGGAGACATCATGGCATGACTTAAGGGAACATTGGTTGTGTGAAGGAAAAACTGAGATTATCTAAAGCCATCTCTATTTCTGTTCAGATAAAGACTAATGAGTATGTGTTTATATCAGCTTAGTATATTTCATCTTAGCCATTCTATCCTAGAAGGATTTTAATGTGAGCTTAAAATGTAAATAAATAATTTTGCAAACAAGCCTTTTGTTTTCTATATATACCTACCCTGACATTTTAATGAAGTTTCAGAGTATTTATCATTGGTCTTTAGAATGATAGCATCAAAATATTTCACTAAACACATTCTGCAAATGCAGAATCTCAGCCCACACTCCAGACCTACTAAATCAGAGTCTTCATTTTGGAGAGATTCCTCAAGTGATTTGTGTAGGATTTAGAGCACTGGAACTCCATTTCTGTTACAGAAGGATGGCTTTCACATCAGCCAGTCTGGGGTCCCTGTACACTGGGGCAATGCATAATTTACCTGCAGAATCATCACTTAACTTTAGGCAAGGCCCTGCTTGTGATTTTGGGTTCTTCAAAGGTGGCTTTATTTCAGTTGCCATCTTTATGGGTGGCTCAGACTTTCTTAATTGAGCAGCTCATGACAAATGAGATACATACAGTTAGAAACACAAAAAACCTAAAAGCATGTTAATATGCTGAATACTGAAATGTAGAATTGGAAATGTTGCCCAAACTAGACCCAACTCATGAGCCCTGTTTTACAATTTCAAAGCTTTTATACCAACTTACACTGCCTTACGAGGCAGGAAATACCATTATCCCCATTTTATGAATGAGAAAACTGAAGCTTAGCAAAGCTGTGACTTACTCAAGGACACACTGCCAGCTAAGTAGGGGACTCGGGACTAGAGGCTTAGATTTCCCTGTGCTACAACACTTGTATCAACTCCTGGCACAACATTTTATCAGAGTTGGTTCAATGGCAACTATGTACACTGTACTCCGAAGAAAAGTACTGTGTAAAACATTCCTGCCATCTGTTTGCAGTAGAGTGACAAGATTTACACAGAAAAAAAGATTCAAAAATCTACATCCATACAGAAGATAATCAAGTGTTGATGGACTCTGTGCTAAGAGAACCGAAATAAGTAAAATTAGTGTCAAATGGGAAAGGTCCTTAACTTAGCATAAAATATAATTCCGTACTTCATTGAGATTTGTGTAGCCTATGTGTTTTATAGTCTTACTGTGCACGCAAAAAGTAATTTTCTAATATATACTTGATGTCCCTTTTCCCCATAATAATGTTGGTTATGTTTTGGCCATAAGACTGGAATTTTCACCTAAATGATGTGAAATGTCCCTTATATCATCTCCTGATCAAAAAGTTCAATTTCAGGCTGGGTGTGGTGGCTCATGCCTGTAATTCCAGCACTTTGAGAGGCCAAGCCGGCTGGATCACCTGAGGTCTGGAGTTCGAGACCAGCCTGACCAATATGATGAAACCCCGTCTCTACTGAAAATACAAAAATTAGCCAGGTATAGCGGCATGTGCCTGGAATCCCAGCTACTTGGGAAGCTGAGGCAGGAGAACTGCTTGAACCTGGGAGGCGGAGGTTGCAGTGAGCCGAGATCATGCCATTGCACTCCAGCCTGGACAATGAACGAAACTGTCAAAAAAAAAAAAAAAAAAAATTCACCCAGAAGTACTTTTTATTTTTTTGTTTGGTTGCTTCATTTGCAAATCAGGAGACATGGCTAGTTTTGACAAAGAGACTTTTTTTTTTAATTCCAAAAAAAGTTAAAATTCCAAAGCAGAAAACTATAAAACTAAAATAGTGAAATATTGTAATGAGTAGGCAACAATGGAAAATAGAGCTGGATACCCTTATGTTAAAATAATATTTAATTCTGAAAAAATGATTACATGGGATATGCTTTAATAGCTAAGGCAAAGTAGACAGCTCTTAACAGTGATTACAGCTCAGATGAGTATTTACCAATTATTTTTCTTTCCTGTTTGGAGGCACATCTATCCTCAAGATCAAGCAATAAATAAGTACTAACCCTATGCCAGGTACTAAGAGGTTATCCAGTATTAAAATACAATAAAAGGGACTCTTTAAAAAGTGTCAATGTCAAAAAAAAAAAAAGATGTGGCAATGTTCCAAATTAAAGGAGCGTAAATTGACATGACAGGTAATGCAGTACCTAATCCTAGACTAGATTGTATACCAGAGAAGAAAATACTCCATGAAGCAGGAGGTACCCATCCTCCCAGGCACTAGGAACCAGGCCACACAGCCGAGGTGAGCAGCAAGTGAGCAAATGAAACTTCATTTGCATTTACAGCCATTCCCTGTAACTCCGGTCACTGCCTAAGCTCTGCCTCCTATCAGATTAGCCGTGGTGTTAGATTTTCATAGGAGTGCAAACCCTATTGTGAACTGCACATCCAAGGGATTAGGCTGCACACTCCTTAAAAGAATCTAATGTCTAATGATCTGTCAACATCCCTAGATGGGACTGTCTTGTTGTGGGAAAACAAGCTCAGGGCTCCCCCTGAGTCTACATTATGGCGAGTTGTATCATTATTTCATTATATATTACGACATAGAAATAAAGTGCACAGCCAGGCACGGTGGCTCAGGCCTGTAATCCCAGCACCGTGGGAGGCCAAGATGGATCACAACGTCAGGAGATTGAGACCGTCCTGGCCAACAAGGTGAAACCCAGTCTCTACTAAAAATACAAAAAAGTTAGCCAGGCACAGTGGCATGTGCCTGTAGTCATAGCTACTCAGGAGGCTGAGGCAGGGGAATCGCTTAAACCCAGGCATTGGAGGATGCTGTGAACCGAGATCGTGCCACTGCACTACAGTCTGGGCATCAGAGCAAGACTTTGTCTCAAAAAAATAAAAAATAAAGTGCACAATAAACGTAATGCATTTGAAATCACCCCAAACCATTCCCCTCCTTTCAACCCTGGCCCATGGGAAACTGTCTTCCACAAAACCAGTCCCTGCTGCCAGAGAGGTTGGGGACCACTACTGAATTAACTGAATTTAAACTGACAAAATTGGAATATGGATGGTAGCATAGAAAAGTCACTATTAAATATACTGAAGTTAGTTACTGCATTTATGTAAAAGTATCTTCTATGAAGGTGTACACTGATGTGTTTGAGAATAGACAATACCATATATGCAACTTATTAAATGATTCAGAGACAAAATTACCCAGGCATGCACACACACCTGTAAGGGAGAGTGAAAGAGCTAGAGAAATCAGGCAATGAAGCAAAATATTGAAAAAAAAAAAAAAAAAAAAAAAAAAAAAAAAA